ACCACAAAAGTCGATTATACCATTAGTCAGTTCAATCAGCTTGTCGATATTAAGTATATCATCGGCAGGGGTCCCCGCTGGAAACCTGTCTAAGAAAATCATGGGCCGAGACGATGACATTTGTGTACAAAAGCCCTTGAAAGCAATAACAATCCAAGAACACGAATACAACACCCGCGCCTCGCCAGACCGCTAAAAATAGCGTCAAGGCCACTGTTGTAGACGTTAGTTTTAAGGTCATAGGTGTTACAGTTCAAAAGTCGCTATGATGCACAGTGTTAATCATTGAATTCACCGGCCGCCAAATATATTTTAAGGTGATAGACAGTGCCTTTGAACATCGTCGAACCGTCGACTGAATCTTCCTGGAGGATAAGTCCAAGCTAAGTGCTGGGACGCTGAATAAAAATCCAGGTAGGTGGAATAGGTCGCCATACCCCACCACTGCTTGACAAATCAGGAGGTAATTCTGCGAAGCACCTCCAACGCATAAATCGAAACCGATAGAAAAGATTACTTTGCAGGACCACTATTGAGGGCTGCGGTGGCCTTAGGTAAAACGCCCGCATTAATCGAGAGTTTGAGGACCCTCCAGTATATCGTGGTTAGCCTGCACGGACATTAAAACACAAACTGGAGGTCATACTTAACAACATGCACATGATTGGGTTTGAGGGACTGCAATTAGCAGGATAAGGGTCAGAAGCAGTGGAAGGCATGACAGGAGCATGGTCACTTCTACCTACCAGAAAGTACTTGAAACTGATGCCACAGAACCAAAAAATAATGCTTCCCTTTGAAAAAAATCCTAGGCAACATAGGCGCATGCGCATAAAACACTCACTTTGAAAGTCTGAGAATGCTATACAGCTAATATATAGACAGTCCCAGCGACATGGCAAGTGAGCTGAAATTTACTAACTGTTCTTCCTACTTCAGTAGTTCGGAACACTTAAGTATGATGATCCTCGGATAATCCCGTAAAAGACGGCAAAATCTTATAAAAATTGCAAGACTCTATTTAAAACCATATTTTCTTAAAATTTCCATCCCTTCTTGTTCTGTTTGATACTTATTTTCCGGGTCTCCTAACGAACCAGACTCCATCGTACCACAGTGCTGACCCATATTCTCTAACATCCTGTGTCCACAAAATCTGTCTGATATTTAATCCCTAAGAAGATTTATTGGAGTCGACGAAGTTGCAGACGTAACAACTAACGGAGGGATGGACAGAAGCGGAGAGAGACCAAAAAGATGAAAAACAAAAAAATCATCAAATACACAACGCAGAAAAGGAAATATAAAAAGATGGAACAGTAAGAAGTGGATTTTTCTGAATGTCACAAAAATAAAAAGATTGCCAAACAGGAGGTAAAATGAATCACTACTCACTCTTCAGATAACTTTTTCCTTGGACTGATTACGATCAACAGATAGTCAGCCCTTGAGCTCGCATGTGCATTTACGAACAGAACAAATTTTTCCGTATATCTGGAAACGATGCGGATGGGGATAATAGAAAAATTGACCAAGTTAACATTGTACATAGCGAGTGAAATTGTTTCATGATGAAGCGCGATCACTTATGGCAAAGAATAAACTGCTTGCGTACGTTGACAGCAGCTCGTTAGCGTTGTCTCGGCGGTCTACATTCCATAATTAAAATTCGAGTAACACACGCTCCAAAGGGCTTGTAAAAACTGTCCCCATCGAAGCCTAAAATCATTTTTTATTGCATGCAGTAGTGATCTTCCGGACGAAATCACTGTTTGGCAGACGTTATGTGACTTTAAGGAGCTCGGCATCCCCATATTGAGATATTCCTGAGCCTTGGTGGGTCATAGAGCTGCATTACTAAGGTAGTTGGCTTTCACATAAGTAACACTGTACGTTCTCCCATAAAACGTCTGACAATTTATAATGATCAGCCATAGAAACCAGTTACTCAACTGCTCCCCCAATTCGCTGAGGTTTGATTTATGTTGTCCTTGTTATGTATGCAAAACAGAAGGTTAATTGGAAATAGGACGTGTACTGAGTACGATGGACTGCACAAGTGAGGAGGCTTGGGGAAACGGCCGGGTATATGGCAAGGGGGACTGTCATAAGCTGATGGGTAGTTAATTAGCACAAAGGTGTCAATAGGGGCTCATGACCTTGATCGTTAGTTTGTCACGCGTTTGTGGCATGATGTCCTGGCGGCCGGGGTAGGATACGCTGCATCCCTCCACCCTAAAGTGGAGAGCAGGAGGGGGAGGGGGAGCAGTAGAGGTAATATTGGACAGTCAGACAGTGTTCTAATAAGATTCGTTCTGAAAGCGTTGGACAGGTTGGCGGATTCAGGTCGATCTTCTTAGGGCGGTATTTTCTACCTCTGCGCCGCTTTGTGCAGCCACTGGCCCCTCTGCCCCTAAGCTCGTGCTGGCCGGGGTAGAAGGAGGTGGAACATACGCCTCGGTCGGTAGCGTACTGCTCTGTGTAGGCAGTAGATGTTCGGTCCTCGGGATGTCAGGATCCCTATCAAGGGTTGCTGGCAGTTCGAAATTTCCGAATTCTCCGCTTACTGTGTCCGTTCGGCTGCGAACTTGGTCCAGCTGTCAACGCACAAGTCTCCCATCTTCTGACTCTAATTCCACTATTTGCCCCCCGCTTGTTCAAACTACCGCTGGACACCAGTTCTGTTCGTGTTCCAGTCGCGTGTAGACACTTTCTTTAGGCGCTACGACTCGTGGTCGGGTGTTTACATCATATCGTTCTTTCATCTTCGTCTGTTTTGCAATGACTCTATCCTGCGTCGATGGATTAAGCAGGTCGATTCGTGTGCGCAACTGCCGCTTGGACATCAGTTCTGCAAACGAAGCACCGGTTGAGTCGTCCGGTGTTATGCGATAGCTGAACAGAAAACGTGACAACTTGGTGGCCAAATCCGCTTACGTCTGTCTGGCTGGTCCGTGCTTTATTGTCTGGACTGCACGCCCTGTCAGGCTATTAGAAGCAGCGTGATACGGGACGGTAGATAAATGTACAATTCTAATTTTCTCCGTGAAATCTTTAAATTCTGCACTCGTAAAGGCCGGACCATTGTCTGAAACGACCATTTTAGGTATCACAAAAGCAGAAAAACGGCTTGCAACTTGTTGACTGTAGTCAGACGGGAGGTTTTCGATCTCGAAAATGTGATTTAAGACCTTCTTTATGAATCTCTTTTAACTTTGAATAGGTCACACTTATACGCCTGTAGTTTATAATTAACGGTTGGCCACCGCTTTCCAAAACAGACTTTTTAGGCTCCAATCTCAACGTAGTAGGAAAATTCACAGCATAAGGCAGAATTTTTATGAGAATCTAGTCAAGCTTTAAGAATACGCGGACAACCTTCTCTGTACCGTTGGTTGCGACCGGTCCACACCGAACGCTAAGGTGCGTTATCTGAAAATTCGGATTTTATAAGGTTTCCCAGACTAAGACTAAAGATAGCCAGAAGTTCAATGACAGTGTCCACCCAAGGTCTAGACTGATTCAATGCGCGATGAATCGTGATAAGCGGTGGTTTTTAAAATTACTCATAAACTGATCTGAAAAAGTATTTCCTTGATTTCCAGGATATTTTTCTGAGGGCGATAGATTAAGCTCTTGAAAACCCTGATGTATGCATGGCGCGTATTATACACAACAGTACAACATTACGAAAATTTGTGACTATTAATATTGAATTCACACAATTTAGGTGGAATTATTTTTAACACGGTATTAAGTTCAGGTTCATATTCTCGAAGGAAAACAAGGAACAGATGATCACCCATGCGATTCGTGAAGCCCAACAGATACGTCGTCTTTTCAGCTGATTGAAGAAGAGTATTGCATTATTATTCCACCCGTTGCATGAAGAATTCAAAACGAAGATTCGGACTGGTTATTTCCATGCGTTGCTTCGCTGCCTGCCCAAGAAGATGAGGTTAAAGATGTCATTGAAACATGAGCTCAAAGCACAGTCCCGGTTCAAGACCCTCTATTCGATTGCAAACTGCGATGAGATCACCTCTTTGTCGCCTGTGATGTAAAGGGGACAGCCTGAGGCACTCCAGTTGTTCTAAACAAGATTGGTATTTTAGACTTTCCGCTAGTTTAATTGCACGATACTGCACTCTATCGAGACATATTTTACATTTTGTCAACCATGGTCACACGTCCGATCTTACCTCCGGCGTCCTTGGCTCTGTCTTGACACCCGACACGCAATGGTGTGGAAATAGAGAGTGCGGTGGATTCAGGGCAAGTCTACCACATATATTAATTGACTCACGTCAAGCCACCATTCCTGCGCCCTCCATGCTCTGGGGCACGCTGTAGACGTTACTGACGGTTCAAGTGTCGAATAAGATCGGACAAAGACGCCGTAGACTTGTTCCGAAAGTTTTTGTCCAAAGTTTTAAAAAATCTGTTTGGTAGGGAGCAGCATTCTTCCGGCTTTTAAAGCCTTGACGCTTCGCAAGTGAAACTTAAGATTGCTCCGTATCCAAACGCTGTTATCCTCTTGCGGAGTCTCCATGGAAATAGAGACGCTTTCCACATAATATGCCTTATGATGTCGTTCAAATCATAATTGGTTGGACGCATATGCAGAGTACAATCCGGAAGCCATCTCTCGGACGACGTTTGGAGTGGGTGTAGATTGTTTTGAAGGTTCTCATGCTCAGTCGGGTCTTTAAGGACCTTCCAGATACGATCGTTCCGCAGTCAGGTTCCTGAAGCCTGCCATTAACATAAACAGATGAACAGCACTAATCACGTTCATTCAGTTTGCTTTACGCCTTTCTTTACAGACATATAAATGCTCTTACCCAGTTCAGAAGCTTTCCCCTACTTCCAAGTGTACTCCTTTTATGCGAGTGGTACTGAAATGAGAAACTGTTGCAGGCTTCGATAAAATATGGATGCGCGTCTTGTCAATTTCCAATAGTAATAATGCTAACCGCTTAATTGAGCTGGCAAGTAGGTATTGTCATTACAAATCAAAGCATATTTGAAAACGTCATTGACGGGTATATCTCGGCTCGAATAAGTAAACAGATACAGTGTCCAGTCTATGTTTATATTAAAAAAATAAGCAACAGTGGAAAAAACTCCTTGAAGATCGGTTGAAAAGATATAAAACGTATGTGATCCGCTAGTTCTTACGGAGAAAGAAATTTCAACTCATGGGAAGAAAAAATGCGTATGAAAGACAGAACCGCCCTGCAGGTATATAAGGCTTCTAAAGTTCCTCGTCAAGGAGGAATCCTTAGACCGGATGAGACTATTCGCTGTAGATTCAATTATACTGTATGTCGGATGACTGCAGAAACATCCATCGAAGTGACAAGACAGGAGGGGTCCAACACTGAATAAACAAAAAAACACGATCGTTCATAATCCGCTTAGATTCGAGTCGCGGGGGGGGGGATTGAAAGGACGCGAGAATAATCGAAGCGAGTTAGAGCCGACCATAGTACTTCTTTGCTGACCGAACAAACCGCCAGCAAGGTGTCAAAGCAGAGGAACCCGCCGCGATCATAAACTTATCGCTTTGGGTCAAAACGAAGTGGGAACGTTAAGAGCCGCTGTATGGGGATGATACCAGTGGATTTAACGACCAATTAAAGACATGGGGTTGTACAAATTTTAGTGAAAGATTATAACTGAAAAAAATAAAGTATTTAATGTCTACCCATAAACCCCGGGAGGATCCTTTTCAAAGACAATATGTTGAGTGTTCGGGAGTGAAACGGACAATAGTGACTTTATATTTTCCGAGCTACGACGCTTGCCTAATTCCAATTTAAATGCGAATAATCTCGAGATCCTGACGGTCTACCGCCCACCGAGGAACGACCCGCAATCAGACAGTAGTCTACTAGAGGAATTCGAAGCGATTTCGCTCTGACCCAATGTCATGATTATGGGCGACTTTAACGCTCCGAATATCGACTGGAATCTGACTTCCGCTCCGGGCTCAGAATTTAACTTTGATCGCCGCCTCCTAAAATCTGTGCAAAGATCGCATCTTACACAACACGTCTTATCCCCAACCAGACTACGTGAAGGACAACTAGCCAACTGCTTAGACCTTGTATTGACAAAGGCACCGGAAAGCGTTGATGTTGTAAACTGTCTACCCCCTCTCGGAAAAAGCGACCATGTAGTCCTACAGTGGGAGTATTCTCTCTTCTCTGTACCCGATCAAAGCATCGTGATTAGACGCAACATATGGCGTGGTGACTTCAACCAAATGCGTCTCGACATGCGTCGTAGAGACTGGAAAGCAGCATTTACGGGGTGTGTCCTCAAGGACTGGCTAGAACTTAAGGCCATACTGAATGAACTTATCACCAGATACTACCCTATGTCGAAAAATAAAATCACCAGCAGGCCCCGATGGCTTAAGGGTTCACTAAAAGTTGAAGTAAACCGTAAGCAAAAGCTGTGGAAAGCATATCTTAGGGACAAGACAACTGAATCCAGAAATAGGTACAAGGCTCAGCGGAATAGGGTAAAGTGCCTTGTTTACAAAGCCCGCCAAGACTTCGAGGGTAACCTTTTAAACTGTGCAGGAGAAAACCCAAAGCTTTTCTTCAACTACATAAGACAAGGTACTCGCAACAGGGATCCCATCCCTATGCTAAAAACTGATGATGGCGTTGAACTTTACAAGGACGACGAAAAGGCTGAGCATCTGTCCAGGTTCTTTCAGTCGGTTTTTACGAGAGAAGTCGCTGTACCCACTGATCACTGTAATGTGGACAATGTCCCGACAATTGAATCAGTGGTTCTCACAAAACCTATTGTTCAACAGGAATTACTGAAGCTAAAAGAAGGGACATCGCCCGGTCCTGACGAAATACCGGCAAAGTTGTTGAAGGAATTAGCCACAGAATTGGCAGAACCTCTGAGCCTCCTCTTCCAAGCCTCTCTTGATGCAGGCAGACTGCCTCCTGAGTGGAAGACTGCGTGGATTTCACCGATTCATAAAAATGGCAGTCGCGCTTCCGCAAACAACTACCGACCAGTAAGCCTCACCTCCATATGCTGCAAAGTTATGGAGCGAATTATCAAACGCGAACTGATGCGGTTTTTAGAGCAAAATCATCTTCTGTGCGATGCACAGCACGGTTTCCGCAGAGGGAGGTCCTGCTTGACCAATCTACTCTACTGTCTTGAACAGTGGACCCGAGCGATTGATGAAGGAAACGTTGCGCATGTGGCCTACATAGACTTCAAAAAGGCCTTTGACAGCGTGCCACACCAACGTCTCCTATACAAGCTCAGCCGCATAGGGGTAAGAGGCAAGCTTTTGAAGTGGATTGAAAACTTTTTGGTTGTTCGGTCCCAGACTGTTCGTCTTAGTGGCCAGCACTCGGCAGAGGTGACGGTTACGAGCGGAGTACCTCAGGGCTCCGTTCTTGGCCCTATCCTCTTCCTCATCTATATTGATGACTGTATCCATGGATTGGACTGCAAAATTGCCATGTTTGCTGACGATATAAAGCTTTGGATTGTCATCCGCAACGAGGACGATGAAGCAAATTTCCAGGCAAACTTAGACCGACTCGAAAAATGGTCAGGCTACTGGCTCCTCCCATTTAATGTTACCAAATGCAACATTCTGAGGATTGGCAGAACCAGCTCTGCGCACCGGCAGACGTACTATCTAAATGACACACCGCTGCCATTGGTAGAGGTTCAGAAAGACCTAGGGGTGTGGATAACATCTTCACTAAAGCCATCATTCCACTGTTTGAAAGCAGCGAAATCCGCAATGTCCAGCTTATATCTCATTAAGCGGGCATTTGCCAAGTTCGATGAAGAGTGCTTTCGCAAGGTCTTCGGGATGTTTGTGCGCCCACAGTTAGAATTTGCCATTCAGGCCTGGAGACCCTGGACTGTTAAGGATCGTACCACCCTCGAAAAAATCCAACGACGGGCAACCAAGCTTGTCAGAGGTCATAAAAACCTACCTAACGAAACCAGACTTTCAAATCTTAACCTCTTTCCCCTGGACTACAGACAACTCCGTGGCGACTTACTTCAAAGTTTAGAATGTTACGGGGTCAGGACTGCTGCCTCGCATCCGGCGACTTCTTTGAGCTGGCCACCACTACTAGCTTGAGAGGACACCCTCTGAAACTACGTGTGACAGGAGCGAGACTGGACGCAAGGAGGTCCTTCTTCAGCCACAGAGTGGTAAAGGCATGGAACGCCCTGCCTGTGGAAGTCGTCATGTCCTCATCCGTGGACTCATTTAAGAGAAAGTTTGACCAGTACAGGGATATGTACCTCCACAGCATCAGAAACTAACGAATTCCCCCTGTGCCACTCGCCCCATCCAACGTTTTATGTTACAAAGCATGCTACTCCCTATATTTTAGTAACATTACGTTTTACAATTTTCGCTATATCCTGACCGCCACATATGCGCTTGCTTTGATATTACTTGGTCCATTCAGTACCGTACTGGATATTGTACAATTTTGACATAGAAGGCATTCACAGACAAATTCATACCAGTGACCAATGCTTGTTGTATGTAATTACTTACCTAATTTTTTTCACACTTGCCTTACACATTGTTTTTTATGACGTTATTGTAACCAAAAGGGAGTTCAAAGGCACTCGCCTACTTTTCCCTTAATAAATCTGATCTGATCTGAATCTAGACGGCGACTAAATTTCTGATGGAAGATAACGACAAAGAAAGCTTAGTTGAATGTTAAAAGAACGAGTGTTTTGAAGTAGAGCAAGGATGTGGTGGATCCAACATGGAGAAATTACGCGTGATATAAGACCCATCTATTGGAGTAAAAGCGAAAATACGCAGAAGATTGGGGCTAGAGTTACTGTCTCGACCCTTCTAAACCACAAAAAGTTAATTTTTGCCAATCGACATATCTCAATACAACAAATGCCGGATCCGGCTTGGCACAGGAGCCCTCGAGAAAAGCCTGTCTGAATATTTTCGATTTTAATACGGTTACATGCATTCATTGGACCAAAGATAGAACAGCAATTTTCAAGAATGAGAAGAGCAAACATGTGGTAAGCTCTTTAGACCGATTTCAGGAGGGAAAATTATGTGATATTAACCCCAATATCTGCGCAGCGCTTATAGAAACTCGAAATGCATGGGGCGGTGAGACAAGCTTATTTGCATAATTGGACCCAGATCTTCTATAGTGCAGCATTTTAAGAGCAGGTTATTTATAAAAATTATGGGATCAGGAATCGTGACGGGGACAAAGCACTAAAAACTATAATCAGAGGAAGAAAATTCCATCTGCCATGATGAGCTCAATTTTTCCAAGCATAATACATCGGAGTCAATTTTTTGAATGCGTTCAGTTAAACGAATAAATAAGTCGTTTTATTTATCCGTTTGCGCTGTTCCTAGAATATGAATAACCGCACTTAGTATCACCAGCATACTTGAAAGTGTGCGAACTTCTAATTGCGGTCGAAGTATCGTCAATGTATACGAGGAAGAGTAGCGGATACGAAACCATGCCTTAAAATATGCCGCTCTTAATCGAGTGAGGCTTCAAGTAACAATTGTTACCCATGACCTTCTAATAGCGATTAGATAAGTGGGACCCGAAGAAGTCTAACAAAGAAGACCAAGTGCCAAGGGCTCCCAGTTTTACTAAAATAGGTTTATGCGGCATCTTTTCGGAGATTTTACTATAATTAAAGTAACTAAGTTCCACTGACTGCTGTTCCTTACGCAGAGGAAGTTGTCATCCCTAGTAATGATGACATCCAAACAATTTGACTACTGTCCACTTCGGAACCGGGTGTCCGTGGCAATGTGTTGGGTAAGGAATTCGTCAGTGAGCAAATAAAGTATCTTCTCTTCGCATGAGTTTTTCGATCGTGTGCAGTGCATCTACTCCCAGCCGATGTCCGGAGGGTTAAAATCTCCAGTTATTACTACGTGTTTGCTATGGCAGACTCACTTAACCTCAGTGATGACTGTGCCGTCCGTGTTCTTCTGCTGTCCTGAGGGCCTGTATACCAGGGCAATACGGAGGTCTGGTTGCTTTGGTGCTTTCAGTTTACGACCAAGGATTTAGCAACTAATTCCCCTTTTTGTAGAGGACCCATCCGTGGCATAGCTAATGCCATCCCCCATGAACGTCGCAATTCCCCTAACCCTAGGTTCACTTTGGTCCGTGTGGATAAGCTGAAGTCGGTCCAGCGTGACGCCTGTGTATGTCATCGACCCATTTGACCACGCTTCGACTAGGGGTATAGCGTTAGGCTGTAAATGGATCACGGTCATTTTGATTCCATTCATTTTATTGAGTAGACTCTGCATGTATTGTACGCCATTGCCATATTTTTGCACTCTTGATCTCTGGAAATTATTTGTTGGTTCTTATGCCCGACAGGTACTGCTTCATATCTCGCACGACATATCCAGACCACCAACCGAGTTAAAATCTACAAGCGTTTGATAAAACCGATGACCGGTGTGGTTGCCGTCAGTTTCACCGAATAACTATATAGAAACTTGCGCTCCGTTTTTATGATTTCCTTGTCTACAATCTTTAGACTATTTTTCCCCTCGCTCTGATACCTTTTAGCCTCTATGACCAGTATCATCCTTTTCATTCGATCACTGGGAAAGTGATCTAACTGAAAAAAACACTCCATGATGGCTGTTTGATAGCCCCCAATTTCGAAGCATGCTTAGATCTGCCTGAGACTTTCTTCCGAAGACGCGTTTTAATGGTCCTGATTTCATCGCCTCTGCGTTATCTACAACTAGAGGCCTAAAACTGAAGATCTTTTGTATTTCGAACACCTCACCGGGGTCCTGAACGTCATTTAATAAACTTTGTAATGCCAAAAGGTCGTGTTTGATCGTCTATTTTGCAGTTTTACTATAAACCTCAGGAAATCCTAAAGCCAGCACACAAGGTGATCATTCAAGACAAAAACCGGTCTCTCTATCCTGCCTTCCTTTATTGATGGTAGGTTAAAGCGCGGACTTTGGCACTACCTTTATCATTCTATTTGCATCGCCTTCAAGCAGTGGGTTTAGTAACTGATTCTCAAACCCTACTTTGGGTCTTTCAGTCAGAGCCACTTCTTTTGGCATTACGTCCGTTCTGTTAGCTCCCGATGAGCCTGTTATTAGATTTTTGGCGTCCTGGTCTGTCGTTAAATTGCGCGCATCTGTGATGAACGCCTTTACTCCTTTGCTTTGCTGCCTCAAATGATCTGTCGCATTATAGCCTGACAGGCACGCATAAGGCGTATTGCGAATGCTCTGTCATGGTATAAGTGGATCCATACGATTAATGTCTGCGAATTTCTCAAGGATCGACAGTCCCTGCTTTATTCTTATGCAGACGGACTTTGTAGGCCCAATATTTGCGGACTTAGGGGAATGCAAGAGCTAGTTTCATTTCCGTCTGTTTTCTTTTGTTCACCTGTATTTCGATTGAGTCAGAAGTGTAATGTAACGACTTCGTTCGTTCTCGCTTTTGTCTAGCTTAATATGATGTCTATCGACGTTTACCCGTT